CCACCACCCACCCACTGACCACCACCACCACCACCCACTGACCTCCACCACCACCCACTGACCCACCTGTCATCACTCGCCTTTTATTTACACTTAAAGGGTAACTCTTTAAATTTGCCCTGTGCCCCTACCAATGGTCATTCTCAGCGACAATAAGGCGAGATGGCGTTATCGATCATGGGGAAAACCATCTGAACGTGGCGCCCCGGAGCTGCGCGTGCGCACAAGTGCTCCCGAGGGCCGGGTTCTTTGTAAGTTTCCCCTCGAAGAGCTCTCAGTCGCGCTGGGTCGGTGAGAGGGGAATGATTGAGCGCGCGCTCCGGGACGCATAGAACAGCGGTGCCTCCTCGATCTTAATGGCTTGTAATTTGTCTCAGATTTAATGATTTTTTTTCTCACTGTATTTTCTGTAAGATGATACATAAAGAAAATGGTGAATCCCGGATGAAGGTGTGTGGCTGGGCAGCAGGCAGGCCGGGGGCAGCAGGTGGTGGTGGTGGTGTTTCTCCTGTACCAGAGCTGGGATAAAGTTGACCTATCCGAAGGCCCCCGGCTGACTGGAAGCTGCACGTGGCCCACTCTCCCTTGCCCACTCTCTCCCACCTCCCCCTCCTACTCCTTCTTCTCCTACACTGATTTATTATTTCCATTGTGGCTCTCTCTTGTGTCATCTCACGGAAGACATGTGACGTGTGTTTAGTGCCGGAAAAAAAAGAAGGAAAAATAGAAAGTTTGACAGTGCCATAGTCTAGAAGAGTGATTTACAGCTAAGAATCCTTGAAGTGAGTGTCTTTTACGTAAACTAATACATAAACAGATGAATGATTCTAGAAACTGACTTAAAGTAAATATTCTTTACTGAAACTAATAATTATCGGAGTATAAACGACTACCTGCACTCACATAAAGAATGTAAATTGCCATCAAAACTCAAATAGTGTAAAAAAAATAGTGTTTTCTAACTCATGCAAGTGTAAACGATTTGGGAAATTTACCTCGAAGACTTAATGCAGGTTTTTGAGAGTGAAATGAGTTAAGAACAATAAATATGAACCCGCTGAAGACGATGGCTTAAACTATCGTCCTCAGAGGGCCAAGCTATCGTCCTCAGAGGGTCAAACTATCGTCCTCAGAGGGCCAAGCTATCGTCCTCAGAGGCCAAGCTATCGTCCTCAGAGGGCCAAGCTATCGTCCTCAGAGGGCCAAGCTATCGTCCTCAGAGGGTCAAACTATCGTCCTCAGAGGGCCAAGCTATCGTCCTCAGAGGCCCAAGCTATCGTCCTCAGAGGGCCAAGCTATCGTCCTCAGAGGGCCAAACCATCGTCCTCAGAAGGCCAAACGATCGCCCTCAGAAGGCCAAACTATCGTCCTGAGAGGGCCGAACTATCGTCCTGAGAGGGCCAAGCGATCGCCCTCAGAAGGCCAAACGATCGCCCTCAGAAGGCCAAACGATCGTCCTCAGGGGGCCAAACTATCGTCCTCAGAGGGCCAAACGATCGCCCTCAGAAGGCTAACGATCGTCCTGAGAGGGCCAAACTATCGTCCTCAAAGGGCCAAACTATCGTCCTCAGGGGGTCAAACTATCGTCCTCAAAGGGTCAAACTATCGTCTTCAAAGAAACTAGGAGTAACGAAGCATCTCACCTCATGTGCCAATATCCAAGATAATTATGGAAAATTATAAAAATTTGAAGGATTACACCAAACAAAAATTGAGGAGAGTTTCTGGAGTCTGGCAGAAACATTGTATGCATTAAGGTAAGTGGACCTTCCTTCGTAACTACAGAGAGAGAGAGAGATGACGGAATAATCTGCTGCATCACCAGAACAGAGCCGGGCCTACCCCCCCTCTTTACACACATATCTAAAAATTCATCCCTGCTCTTGTGTACACAGCCTTCTGGTTTTTTTACGTTTTTTGTTTGCATTTATAATCTCTCCTCTCTCTCTCTCTCTCTGGTTACATAAAATGATTCTTTGCAAGGTGTGTCTGGCGGAAGTGTGCCAGGCCTCCAACATAATGCAATGATACAGGCAAGGGAGAAAGGAAGGAAGGAAGGAGGGAGGAAATACGGAGGGATGGAGTGAGGGAGCAAAGAAGGAGGGGGAGGGAGGAAGGAAGGAGGGAATGAGGAAGGGAGGATGGTAGAGGAGGAGGAAAAAAGGGAGAGGTGAGGGGAAGAAAGAAAGGAGAAGAGAGAAGTCATCATCTTCACACACACACACAAGTCATGTACCAGATCTCATTTTCTTGACCTGACCTGATAACCTCTTGACCTGACATAATAACCTCTTGACCTAACTTTACCTGATGACCTCTTGACCTGACATAATGACCACAACCTTTCTACCTCTTGACTTGACCTGACCTAATGACCTCCTGACCTGACCTCATGATCTCTTGACCTTCCTACCTGACCTAATGACCAATTGACCTTCCCTCCTTATACTTGACCTATAACCTAACCTAAACTGATATTCGCAATACTTATTTTAAACAGAACTTGACCATTTTAACACTTTTTTACTAAAGAATTTCCCACCTACTTATTGACCTTTGACCTCACGTTAAAGGTCATATTTCAGTTTTCTGTCTGTTCATCTATCTGCCTGTCTATATATATATATATCTGTTTGTGTGTGCAGGTCCGTCTCTGTGTCTGTCTGTCTCTGGGTCTATCTATCTGTCTGTCTGTCTGTCTGTATGATGTCAGGGTTGTATTTGGCTGCCAGTGATACAAGGGAGGACAATTTTATGTTTCTCGGTAATATTCTCGCTGCCTAATGCCGATGATGACCCAGCACATATTTTCTCTCTCTCTCTCTCTCTCTCTCTCTCTCTCTTTCTCTCTCTCCACATTCCTCCTTGTCTTTTCTCCTTTTCCTCTTTCTCTCCCTTTCTGTCTATCTACTCTTTTATTCATTCTCATCTCTCCCTGTCACTAACACGTCCTTCTCCCATCTCTCCCTCCTTCTCCTGATATCACCCAGTAGCTGCAAGGGATAAGAAGGGGGGGGGGCAGGATGAGCTAAGGAAAGGGAGAATGATGGAAGAAGAGAGAGGAAGGGAGAGGGAGAAAGATGGGGAGAGAAAGAAGTGATGGAGAAGATTTGTTATTTTTTTTTTACGGGGATTAGCCCACCCGGGCACAGGTCACTGACCCTCATCAGGGCCTGGGGGGCGAAAATGTAATAATAATAATAAACTATAGCTGTACATCCTAGGATTTAAACAAAAATAATAGACAAAACAACGAAACAAAAAATATATAAATAACCGCTATCTATGTAACATTAAACTAGCGATGGATTTCTTATGCCCATTTTCTTTGTTAGTCTTCCTCGAGGGCAAACTGAATCATTTTTTAATATAAGGCAGAGTTGTCGGAGGAAGAAGAAAGCGTGGTTGTGTTTCATTGTTTACGCTGTGTGGGTGTTGATCAAAGACCCGCATGGTCTTTTGATGACAAGAAGACATTGATGGGTGGCTGGGCGGCTAGGAAGGAGGATAATAAGGGAAGGAGAGGAGAAGGGAGTAAAGAGAAGAGGTGAGGAGAGGGTGTGGGTGGGAAAATAATAATTGAGGAAGGGAGGTAGGGACTGATTTTTCATTTTGCCGCTTACAGCGGCTACTTTATTGTGCACCCCACACTCATCCTGTGAGCGGTAGCGCAAAAGGATTACAGAGTAGAGTTTACAACGGGTCATAATAATTAACCCCCGTTGTCAGGATATTATGGCACTGAATGTTACACAGTATTTCAATTACATTATTTGTTTAGTTCTATACATAAAGGGTAACTTATTCACAAATGCGTGAGAACAGGCGTGTGAGGCAGTATGTCTGGCCTCACACTTTGTTATTCACATTTACGTGAGAAGTATTCAAGCACATTGCGTATTTGGTTCTGTACATGAGAACTGATATAGTTACTAAGTGCAAAAAGTGGATACAATCTTAATATGTCGGCTATCTTGCCATTAGAGATGAAGTGTTGTGCCATTTCACACACAGTGTGCTTGGACCTGTCCCTAAAGGTTCTATCTTCACACAGTCGAGGACGTATGTTCAAGTGAGTGGCCATATGTATGGCCACACACTTTACATTTAGTTTTGTTTACATCTGCTTGAGGAACATACTGCCAAAGGTACTTATATCCTAACCTTAATCTAGCGGTTACAACATCTTGTAATCTAGTGATCTTGTTACTTGCTCCATATACATGTTTCACTTGATACATGATCTCATTCATGCAAACTATGGATCGACTAGTGCCC